GCCATCTTCTATACCACGCCTTCTTTATTTAGAACAATGACGTTGTTTTCATCCATTGTTTCGCCAACCTTACACAATTTGTTGATTAAATGTCTAATACCCTCTGCGGGTATATCCATTATTTAGGCATTAAAAATTTTTTTTTTTATTTCTCCAAATAAACATCCTTAGACCCCTGTCGACGAGATTAATGTCTGCATAAGAAGGGTCTTACCTCCCCTCTCGTTCAAACTCTCGAAATCTAATTAAAATAAATACATTGACATTTATCTTTTTTTTTTACATCCACTATTTTATCTCGAAATGTTGAATTAGAATTTACATCTTTATTTTGTCTATGCTTCGTTTAAATGTCCTCAAAATTTTAAGTTCAAATATAGCGTAGCACTTGCTTTGGAAATGAATTCTATAATTAGATTTTCGGGAAAACCCAGTCAACTTCTCCTGACAAAGACGGTGTATATACAGATCTAGCCCTCTTAATGAGGGAGAGAGGAATAGAGAAAGCGAGAGCGGGAGAGAGAGAGAGAGAGAGAGAGAGAGAGAGAAAGAGAGAGAGAAAAGGGGAGAGAGAGATGACAAAAAAACATAAAAAAACGTTTTAATAACAAGCTATTAAGTAATAATGCACTGAAAAGTAGAAAATAAATGTTTCCTTTAAATATATAATAATACACTACTATTAAAATAACTATAAATAAAAGCGTGGGTCACTATATTATCTATTTAATAACTTTACCAATATTTAGGAACCCCCCCCCCCCACCCCCGAAGAGATGACTGGAAAAAACTCTGATATTCAAAATATATAAAAATAAACATCAAAAACCAAAACAAAACACGCTTGAATAATTGTAAACTCTACTCAATTTTCTCTTCATCTATCATTATTTCACTATCTATCTATTTCTCTCTCTCTCTATTTCTCTCTCTATATATCTCTCCTCTTGTTATCACAACACACTCTCACACACTACTTCTGCAACTGTCCGTATCTTAAAAGGAAATCACAGGCGCGAGGTGAAGATTTTGCACCGGAAGTTCTAGAACTATCTCCATCACAGAGTCACTTAATATGTTCTCGTAGGCACCGGGCCCGACATCTGCTGTTTTAACGAATGGACTATTCCGTTCTTCGACCGTCAACATTTATTGATTTAAAACTTAGAACCGAAGAGTACCGGTTTTATTGTTGAGTATTGTCGTTTTACGGTAACTTACGATGAACATGAATTGTAATTTTACGCATAGGCCTACTCTTTTTGTAAAAACAACAATCTATGAACGGGAGTGGTTTTTTTACACGCACACACACACACGCACGCACTAGCACACACACACTTACACAAACACGTGCGCACGAATACGCACACACACATAGATAGATATAGTTACACACACACACACACACACACACATATATATAATATAATATATATATATATATATATATATATATATATATATATATATATATATATATATATATATATATATACGTATGCATAAATAAAGATGCACACGCAAATACACATACTCACACACCAATAAACACCCAAACACACACACGTATGCAAACATCTACTCAAACTCCAACGCACACACACTCCTAGTGAGAAAGAGTGTAAAAAAGACACCCAGACACTAATATACATCATATCATTACGGGTTGTGTGTGTATATATGTATCGTCAAGCCTATATTTCCTTTATATCGATACCATGTTACATTTATCTTTTTACCTCCTTTATTTCTTAAAATACATTTCACACCCAATCTTAGATATCTCGGAGAGCGCCAGCTTCCGGTGACGTCACGTCCTCCATGTTGAAATGGAGGAAACAGGGTATCTTGGAATGAAGAAAAAGCCAGAACTAGGTCCGTGCTGAGCAACTGTCAGCCGATCTAGCAGATGTGTGCAAAACGGACGTAAGGGGAGAATCGTTGATGATCCTGACAGGCAACCTGTATTTAAAGCGTGACGTCTCCCTGTGGACGCAGGCGAGGGACGGGCGGAAGTGATGGGCTGAGAGTTTATTTTTAGATTAAAAAACTAAGGGAAGTAACAAATGAGAGTAATTAAGGATTTAGAATCTTAGGAAGAAAAAAGTGGAAATTATATTTTTTTTTAATTGAGAAAGAAAAAAAAACAGTGTCATTTAATAAAGGCAGATAGAAAACTTGCAATTGGAATCGTTTGATTTCGTATTTGATTTTGTTTATAAGAGTATTATAAGAGTATTTAATAAAACAAAAACCAGCAATTTCAGCAATTATGATCGTTTATATAAAACGTCGTTTTAGTTATAAGTTGCTCATCATGTAAGTATATTAAAAATCTTTTTTCACCATTTTCTTCATGGAATAAAAAGTTTTGTTAATGTTTGAATTATGTTACCAATCAACGCTTACACACATTTGTATATGCCAGGGGTCGGCAACCTTTTGAAGCGGGAGAGCCAAAAGTTACAATTTTCAAAATTTCCCTGGTTTTAAAGAGCCACTAACATTTTTTTTTATTTCAAATATTTTATTTTTTTATTAAGATTATTAGTATTTGTGCAAGGAGATGGAGAGCCGCATCTTGATATCAAAAGAGCCGCATGCGGCTCGCGAGCCGCAGGTTGCCGACCCCTGGTATATGCTGATGTAAATGTTTCTATTTGAAAATAAAAGTATTGTATTCTAAAAAAAAAAAAGAAACAAAAAAATTAATAAATAATAATAAATCCAAGTTTAATGGCGTAATCTCTCACTTTCCAAAATTAAATATGGTTCCATCTTTCTAAAAATGCATTTTAATTGAAAGTTATCATTTGAAGTTCGGTTACTCTTTTATTTTCTTTTCCAAACATTTTATCTCCCTTCCACAGACTCAAGCAAAGTGAGATTTAAGATTTTAAAAAAATCTTAAATATTGTCGTAAAATCGATAGATCGATCAACCGTTGACTATTAAAGCGACTGAAATACACAGCCAAGTTTTAAAAAATCACCCAGCTTCCTTCACACTCTCCTCCCCTACCCTACCAACCCTCTACCCACCTACCCACCCCCTCCCACCATCTTTACGGTCTCACTTCTCATTTCAACATGTTGTTGTCAAGCGTCTTTCACTATCAACGATTAAAGCTGACTGGCTCACCCTTGACCTTCCGGTTTCAACGAAACTTGCCCCTTCCCCGCTCCCCTTCAAAGTAATACTCTGACAATCACCGAACTCTTTTTCTCTATCTCATATACACTCGCACACTCTCGCATTCAAACACGTATTTTTACACACATGCAGAATAATACATCCCATTGTATACAGTATCATCTTGTACACAATTACAAAAACTTTAGTTTGCACAAACATGCACATACTCTCGCATTTTCACACATAAACATACTTGCCAAAACACACAGCCCACCACATACACACACACACAAACGTATTCTTACTCGAATAATTACATAGTATACACTTGCTTACTTACACACTCGCAATCTCTCTCTCTCTCTCGATTTCTCAGTTTCTGACACAAATATACACCCCCCCCCCCTCTCCCGTGTACCCCACACAACTTTTCAAGAACCTCTCACATTCTCTAATTCAGTACCACTCAAAAATCCCACCCCCATCTCGGTCTCTAAATCAAGTTCACATACCCTCGCACACCCACACATACGTCCTCACACATATATACTCACCCCCCACACACACAAATACCAACCAACATCACGTACATTGGAGTCAAGCGAGGGGGAACCCATTCAATTTGAATTTCAACCTTCTCGCCAATCACTTTTTAATTGGACTCAAGTCTCCGCCCAATTACAGGCCGTGCTTCAAGAGTCTGGGAAGGAAATTCTGTCTGGCTCTGTGGGACGTAATTAAAAAAAAACACATGACTGAGACATCTCATATACTTGGTTTCTTCAAAGGTTTTCCATATCCATGGTTTGTTTCTTAAACTTTTGTTTGAGGTGAAAGATGATGTTTCTGTAGAAGTATGCAAGAGTACCGATAAACGAGGTTTTACATTACTTAGAATGACATATGATGGGCAGGTTATATATATATATATATATATATATATATATATATATATATATATATATATATATATATATATATATATATATATATATGTATATATATATATGTATATATATATATATATGTATATATATATATATATACATATATATATATATGTATATATATATATATATATATGTATATATATATATATATATATATATATATATATATATATATATATATATATATATATATATATATATATACTAGCTTACCTGTGCAGTGCGTTTCTGCTGTCTTAAAAGAAAGGCTGACTAAATATTTTAAGAGGATTTTTCATTAACACACAATGTGTACTTTTAGACGCATGACCCTGTTTTTCTAAAATCCTTTATTTTCTACTTTTTAGTACATAATTACGTTAAAGCTTGTTATTAAAACGTTTTTTATTGATTTTTTCCCTGTGTTTTTACGTTGGTAGTATGGCAGTACTTGTAAGATTAGTGTTGTAACCTAAATTTGGTTGTGGTAAAGATTTATGAACAACATTTTGTCACACCTTCTTTTTGATAAATAAAAGCTCATTTATGGTAAATAATAGCGATGAAATAGGTGTATTTTCTTTACTAGGCAAATAGACCACACTCGGGTGATGTTATTATTATTTTAATTAATATATTTTATTATTTTCAAGACACTAATCATAAGGGAGTTAATGGGATTACCTAAAGGGAAATAACTCAAAGATATAGCTTAAAATTATTACAAATATTATATTTGCCACAATTTGTTGCTATATATCATCAAATTATATTTTAAATTATGTGTTTTGAATTTATTAATATATCATGCGATAAGAAAGCTATAATTAAATTGATAAATTTGATAAATAATGAACGTAAATGTAAAAACTGAAAACCATACTTTTAACTGTACTTGAGTTAGATCTGGTTCAAACTTTTTTCATTATACAGTAACTCCGGTTTCTCTTCACAACGAGTAAATCTTTCGCCTTTTACTAAAGATTTCCGTGGAGAGGAGCAAAATAATGAGTCTAATACTCTATTTTTCAAACCCTACAAGTAGGGTAATAACACAAATAAATGATTGGTATCAAAATTGAAGAAAGGATATCATTGAGTAGTTTATGCGACGTTAAAACTGCAACACAATACAAACGTCATTATGAAACTATCGTTAGACCTAATTAAACTGCGCCTAAAAGAATATTTAAAAACTTAACTTTGGTTTAATTTAATTAATTGATAGACTAATTGTGCAGCAATGGTTGTGAGCTGTTTCCTTTTTATCATGTATTAAATTTAAAATATATTAAACTAGCGTACCCGCCCCCCGCGCGTTGCCGCGGGGATAGAAGAAAGTTTGACGAAATATATTAGAAGGATTTCACCAACGCGTTACCAATCATATGTTTTTAGACGCGTGACCTTCTTTTCTAAAAATGAGTTATTTAAATGTAAACAATGCCTGCGCTTGGATCATAAATATCAGGACACTGGTTTACCTACACTACCGCATGATCACCTTGAGTGTACATTAATCACTCACCGAAATAATATGGTAGAACATACTACGGTGAACGCCCATGTGTCAGAGACGTAGAGGCCCGCTCTCAGGAGCCCCCCCCCCTCCCCCGATTACACTACCGCATAGGCGCGGCGTACGACCCCTGGCTCCTTAAAATAGCATCCTGTTAACAATGATGCAGATTGCGTCATTCACTAAAGTGACACAAATGAACAGGATTTGTTATTTAACACGTAAAAATTATTTGACGCGTTTTAAATATCAGTGTGACTGATGCAATATGTTAGCGTTACTAATGGTCTATTCTTAGATGCTCGATCTCAATTTCTGTTTGGATTATCTAAAAATAGATGCTAATTGCATCATTCGCAAAGTGGCGAAACTGTTTGGAGTTTTTTTACGGACAAAAAGAAACATCCCAGTTAATAATCTAACCTTGGTTAATTTTTCTGATTATTAAAATAAAAACGTATTACAAGGCCCTCAGCGGCCCATTTGAGCCTTTGGGGGCCGAAACAGACAATTTTTTTCCCAGCCTAATCGCACCCTACCAGGGCGCCAGAGGACACGCCTGATTCAATTTAGTAAGCGTTTGTAACGCCCCATACTATCCATTGTCTATCACACTGTTTAGACCGAACGTATTCACCATAGCGCTAACGGGAAAGACCAGGGCGCCAAATCGCATCCTGCCGGGGGCCGCCCATGCAAAATTAAATCCCCCGCCCCCACCACCCACTCACCCCTATAACCCCCTCCCACCTCAGAAACCTTCTCGGGAGTATTCATCAACTCTCTATAGTTTTATGGCAACGGGATAAACTGTGTCGAACCGCAATCGTCTTTTATTTTTATATACCGCCCTTGTGAAATTAAATTTCCTTTTTTACAGAAACCTTCCCTGGAGTGTTCTAATCAACTTCCCAAAGTTTGATGGCGATCGGAATAACGCCGTGAAACCGCAAACGACGTTTATTTTTATATACCATATACAGAGAAAATCGCACCCTCCTGTGGCACCGCCCTTGCGAAAATAAATTTTTTTTTTTTTACAGAACCCTTCCCTGGAGTGTTCTAATCAAGTCCCTGAAGTTTGATGAACGTTGTGAGACAACCGGCTTTATTTTTATATACCATATATAGAGAGAAAACAAATCGCGCCCTGCCCGGGCGCCACCCCTGCGAATTTGAAAATGTTTTTAGCGCAGAAACCTCTCCAGGAATATTTTCAACATCTTCCCAAAGTTTCATGGCGATCGTATGAACGGTGTCACCGCAATTCACTTTTATTTTTTTATATACTGTATACAGAGAAAAATCGCACCCTCCCCGAGAGTGTTCTAATGAACTCACCAAAGTTTGATGGCGATCGGATGTACGGTGTCACTGCAATCCACTTTAATTTTTTTTATATACCGTATTTAGAGAAAAAACGCACCCTCACGTGGCGCCGCCCTTGCGAAATTAAGAATTATTTTTTTAACAGAACACTTCCCTAGAGTGTTCTAATGAGTTCCCTAAAGTCTCATGGCTATTGGGTGAACGCTGTCAAACCAAAGTCGACTTTTATTTTTATACGAGCCGGCCCGCGGCATAACATACGCCGCTATTTAGTTGTTTCTAATTTTCAATAATTCATAATTTGTGAATTCGACAGTACCAACGCTGACACTGAAAATATTTCTTTAAAACACTATAAGTAGCTCGTTAAGGACCATAACCCCCCCCCCCCTTCCTTCCCTCCCCCCCCTCCTCCCCCCCCCCCCCCCCCCTACGTTTAAAATCGTTGGCTCTGCTTGTAAACATTTAGAGTGAACACAGCTCACTAAAACCATGTAGGGGTGGGGAGGTAGGGAGAGCGTTTGCAGCTTGTTTTCTAACGGCTCGAAGAAGAGAATTATATATATAGATAGATATCGCATATAGAGAAAAAACAAATCGCGCCCTGCCGAGCCACCCCTGCATATTTGAAAATGTGTTTAGCACAGAAATGTCCCTAGGAATATTCTCAACATCTTCCCAAAGTTTCATGGCAATCGCGTGAACGGTGTCACCGCAATTCACTTTTAGTATTTTTATATACTGTATATTGAGAAAAATCGCACCCTCCCGTGGCGTCGCCCTTTTGAAATTAAAAATGATTTTTATACAGAACCCTTTTCCAGAGTGTTCTAATGAACTCACCAAAGTTTCATGGCGATCGGATGAATTGTGTCAAACCAAAATCGACTTTAATTTTTATATACCGTATATATTGAAAAAACAAATCGCGCCCTGCCGGGGTGCCACCCCTGCGAATTTGAAATTTTTTTTTTCGCAGAAACCTCATCAAGAATATTCTCAAAAACTTACCAAAGTTTCACGGCGATGTATATATATATATATATATATATATATATATATATATATATATATATACATATATACATATATATATACAATTTTTTGAGCCTGTGAATTTAAAATAACTATTAAAAACTAAGTTACGTATACAAAAAATAAAAACCAAATTGCAATTTGCCAAAATAAAGAAATAAAAATCAAGTGCTCATAAAGTGTGTGTTGTATTGCATTTTTATTTCTGAATGCCGCTTTTTATAACGGTTGTACTGCAAAATAATGATTAAAATAATATTCAATATATATATATATATATATATATATATATATATATATATATATATATATATATATATATATATATATATATATATATATATATATATATATATATATATATATATACTAGCCGTCCCGGCCAGGCCCTGCTCTGGCTTCTTTGAAAAACCTTTCTGTTAAGACCATTACCTGTGTGTTTAGTAATCATCATAAACCCGGCATTGCCCACCCAAACCACAACCAACCAAAACAACAAAACGCAAACATAACGCTAACACAATTACAAATACAAACGAAAACAAAAACCTAACAACAAACCCAACCATAACCACAAACACCAATACAAACACAAAGAAAAAACAAACAAAAAAGCAAACGAAAACAAAAACCTAACAACAAACCCAACCACAAACACCAATACCAACAAAAAAAAAACAACGAAAAAGCAAACGAAAACAAACCAAATCCAAACGCAAAACCAACCAAAAACACAAATACAAACCCAAACAAAAAAACACAAACAAAAACGAAAAAAGAAAGAACAAAAACGAACCAAATCAAAACGCAACCACTAACGCAAACCCACCTAAACACAAAGAAAACACTAACGCGAACATAAACGCCCGGGGCGGAATCACCTGTTTTAGCTTAATGAACGACGATAGTAACCCAACTTATTCATAGTCTTTTGCGCTCACTTAAACGAACGCGCCTGTTTCAATTTGATGAACAATTATAATACTCCAAGCTTATCCGTAAAATACCTACAACATTTGCACTTGATCAATCCCCGCTAATTATGTAATTATTTTTTTTCCCAACACCAAAACAAAGTAATTAAAAAGTAAATTATTTTCGACTAATGCAATGGTTTTATAAAAGGGAAGTAATTTTGTTTTCCTAATGTATCAAAGGGAAGTAAGTGCTATAGGACTAAATAAAGACATAATTAGAATTTTTGTAAAAGATGATATTTTTTTTAAACTTGTGTTTAATTAACATGCCGACAATTATTACTGTAATTTGAAAAATGAAAATGATTTCCCAACACTTTCAATGGTAATTTTTTAGCTCATAAATTTAGGCAAATGCGCACGCTAATTTTCTAACACTTAAATTCGTACAATTCCAACGACATACAAATGCATTACATACAGAACTGAGCTTTATATATTAGATATATATATATATTCTTTTTGTAGAACATGTTTAAATGAAGACCTGTCGCTAAGTAAAGTGTATTCTAAACCGTCGTTCTATAGACACAATCATTCCAAACGAACCGTATTTTAACTATGAATGTGAACCTTTTTCAGCACTGCCAAATAAAAATAAAATTTCTTCAAACTTTTCTTGGAAGGAAGTCAAAATTAATGGGGCTGATTCGCCCCATCTGGTCACATTGAGTGCGAACAACCGACCAATTTTCTTTAAGTGAAATTGTTTCGTTTTTAAAGAGAAGGGAATAAGTTAGATTTTTAGGTTTCTTATTTGTTGCTGTATGGCTCCATTTTTATCAAATTTGTTGTAAACCTAAAAACGACTCTTTCTCGCCCAGTGCCAATAGGTGAATCAGGTTTCAGTCTTCATTTGATTTATGTTACAGTAGGTGAATCAGGAATCAGTCTGAATTTGATTTATATGACAGCCAGTTGGTGAATCAGGAAAAAGTCTTCATTTGATTTTTATTAAAGACAGTATCAGTAGATGAATCAAGATGAATCAGGATTCAGTCATTTTATTTATGTGACAATGGTGAATCAGGAATCAGTCTTCATTTGATTTATATGACAGACAGTAGGTGAATCAGGATTCAGTCTGAATTTGATTTATATGACAGTAGGTGAATCAGGAATCAGTATTCATTTGATTTATGTTACAGTAGGTGAATCAGGAATCTGTCTTAATTTGATTTATGAGACAATAGGTGAATCAGGAATCAGTATTCATTTGATTTATGTGACAGTAGGTGAATCAGGATTCAGTCTTTATTTGTTCTAGTACCAGTCAGAAGTTTGATTTTTGCCTCACAGTAAAGAACAAAGAAAACCTACAATTGGACTGTTTTCAACAAAGCATACATCCGTGTACACTAAATCAGATGTCGACACGGTTGAGTGAAGAGTATGACCTTGGACTGTTTTCAACACAGCATACATCTGTGTACACTAAATCATATGTCGACACGGTTGAGTGAAGAGTATGACCTTGGACTGTTTTCAGCACAGCATACATCTGTGTACACTAAATCATATGTCGACACGGTTGAGTGAAGAGTATGACCTTGGACTGTTTTCAGCACAGCATACATCTGTGTACACTAAATCATATGTCGACACGGTTGAGTGAAGAGTATGACCTTGGACTGTTTTCAGCACAGCATACATCTGTGTACACTAAATCATATGTCGACACGGTTGAGTGAAGAGTATGACCTTGGACTGTTTTCAGCACAGCATACATCTGTGTACACTAAATCATATGTCGACACGGTTGAGTGAAGAGTATGACCTTGGACTGTTTTCAGCACAGCATACATCTGTGTACACTAAATCATATGTCGACACGGTTGAGTGAAGAGTATGACCTTGGACTGTTTTCAGCACAGCATACATCTGTGTACACTAAATCATATGTCGACACGGTTGAGTGAAGAGTATGACCTTGGACTGTTTTCAGCACAGCATACATCTGTGTACACTAAATCATATGTCGACACGGTTGAGTGAAGAGTATGACCTTGGACTGTTTTCAGCACAGCATACATCTGTGTACACTAAATCATATGTCGACACGGTTGAGTGAAGAGTATGACCTTGGACTGTTTTCAACACAGCATACATCTGTGTACACTAAATCAGTTATCGACATGACTGAGTTGAGAGTATGACATCTTTTACGTAAGCATCTGGTTTGTGACTGTAGCTAGCTATAGAATTTTTTTTTTACTTGAAATGACAAAACATCACGACCATAAATAATATCATGTGTTTAAAGCATTAAGGTTAACGTAATAATTGGCTTGAGGTAGAGTAAAGGTTTTTCTAAGAAATTAATAATAATAATAACCTCTATCTAATTAACGTGAATTAACGAAATGAGCGTATTTTGTATACATTTGATATAGGCGTTTTGGTTCTACAATGGATCCCGTGAAAGTAAGACGCTTGGGTTGGTATTCTCAGTGGCGTAGCCAGGATCGTCTCAAGGGGGGGGGGGGGTCCAATTTTTACCCGGGGACAAACTTTCGATTTGCACCCCCCTCAAACTTTCGATTTGCACCCCCCGCCCCTCAAACATTCGATTTGCACCCCCCTCTCAAACTTTCGATTCGCACCCCCCCCCTCAAACTTTCGATTTGCACCCCCCCTCATACTTTATATATATATATACCGAGGGGTCTATGGGGAGGGGCCATGACCCCCCTAAACCCCCCCCCCCCCTTGCCTACGCCACTGGGTAGTCTACCCACTCTATTGCTTCACCACGCCTACCGTATTTACATAATCCACTACTCGTTGACGTTGACATAGACGTAAAGCCCCAGTTAAAAGACCAATAACAGTATAATCTACATAAGAACAATAGTTTAATTTAGAGTCCGCTGCTCCTTCTAAACCTCAGTCTGTAGAAGATACCCCATGTTTTTGGCCTGCACGCAAGTTTGTAATCTATTCTTAAAGGGGGATAACCAACAATGAGAACAAGAAAGAGCTTTTCTAGGGGAAGCAGTGCAATATATTGAATTATTAAATTTTTTTAAAAGGTCGAAACAAATGATGTATTACATTAAAAAAAACAAAAAAAAAAAAACTCATTAATTTTTTTCATAGAAATCGTAATTAATCAGTTGTTAACTATATGCAATTTATAAAAAGAGTTTTAGACCTAAGATTGTGTTTGATATTAAATGTATAAAACGTTTGTAGTCAGCTATTGTTTTTGTTGCTATTCGATTTAAATTTGTGCTTTTTAATTGATACCAAGTTTGTTTATGCAAGTAGGAAACGATACCACTAAACAGTCTAACTGTAGGACAACCGTGGCTTTGTGGTAGAGCGCTAGAATGCTAATCCGTAAGTCTCGAATTTGAATCCAGGTTCAAGTCAGCAGAACATCCCTGAGTCCACCCAGCTCTGGTGGGTACCTAACTCACGTAAAGGAAACAGGCGGCTGGGCGTAGTGCTGACCACACTATCCCTTCATATGCCAAGGTAAAGAGAGATATTAACTCTACTACCACACCTGCCCATATACTAATTGGGAACAACCAATCCATTATTTGATTTTAATAATTATATAACAATCATAGAGACAACTACATTGTTTTAGAAATTAAGAAGCCAAATCAGATTTAATAATGTATTGTTTTATTTACAATCACAATAATACAGTACAATAAGGTATGTTGCATTAAAAATCAATCATTCAAATTCTGAAGCTGACACGGGCAGATAAACAATTTCCTCTTATCAGCCTCACTGACATTTTATAACAGGAAGTCATCGTGCAATCACAAGAGACATTTCTAGACACACAAGTACGGTAACTCCATTAACATCAACAGTTATTGCCCTTATTTCAATAGTTAAACAGACATATTTTTTTTAGAAGCAGCGGCGCCTCGCATTTCTACATTCCACTAGAATTGCGTCAAAATAATACATTTAAAATCTGACGAAAACAAGTAAATAAATAAAAAAAAAATATCTTAATACTTGTGTTCTCATTGCTGACTTAGTTGTACAGTATTTTATCAATACTTGTTAGTTAGCCCGAATTGAAATGACTGTTTCATAATAAAATCATGCACTTTACTCTTAGCATCTATAAAAGTCCTCATGTAAAGTATGTTCGGTTGACTTCTTCATACGTTGGCGAAGTCCTAGAGCCTATATTGATGTGTGACTGACACTTTAATAAGTGACGCGAATTATAGGCGTGGCCTAGCGCTAGAGAGCTAGACTGTTAACGGAGAATCTCGAGTTCGAATCCGGGTTCTAATCACTCGAATGACCCTGAGTCCACCCAGCTCTAATGAGAACCTAACTCACGTTAGGGAAACACAGACGGCTGGGCGTAGCACTGACCACGCTATCCCTTCATATGCCGAGGTCTCTGAAGCAGATGAACTCTACTTCCTCTGCCCCATGTGCCTTGGGCAAGAACGGGAAATGATGATACATTGTAGATTCCATTTCTATCTTGATCATTAGAACCCACTATAGATCTTAATCTAACCTTTAATCTCAACAAAACAGCTAGTGCATTCATATCTTTAAAATACCATAAGACTAAGTCGGCAGCATTATTAAATAGCCTACACATTTTATTCTTTTACGCGAAAAAAAATCGAACACCATTTTAACATATTTACACGTCATTTTCATTGCTCACATAAAATGCTGAAAAAGTCATTGTAAAAAAATGGTAATGTCGAATTTCATCCACCAGAATTCAAACAATGTTTATATTTCTTATATACACATGTGGTGCACATAAGAGTTACAATTTCCTGCTAAACACTGTTGCACTGATTCAGGCCACTTATCTGTAATTAAGTGAAAGTCACACACTTAATTACCTGAATAACACACGATAAGAAACTTTAACGAGTTTACACATGTACATTTTTATCTGTAGGTACACACATTTTCAACTGTACACACATTGTTAAAAATGTACATCTAGACATACTCGCATTTTCAAAATGTGTACATGGTTGTATTCGTATTGACACAGATAAATACCTGGACATTGTGTACATTATACCTTTTGTATCTCGTACATTCATCTGTACACGCTTTGACCAATCTCCACACCCACACTTGTACACCTCGACCTGCACACACATTCACACTTGTGTACACCTGGACCAACCCCCCCCCCACACCCACTCACGTAATCACACTTGTACACCTCGACCTGCACACACATTCATACCTGTGTACACATGGACCAGCCCAACCCTCCTCACACACACATACACGCAAATAGCTGACCTATACACATTGACCTACCCACACACAACTGTACGCATGTACACCTGTACCCACTCACTAACACTCATGTGTACACCTGGACCTCCCCACACACACGTGTACACCTGGACCTCCCCACACACACGTGTACACCTGGACCTACCCACGCACACGTGTACACCTGGATCTCACCACGCACACGTGTACACCTGGACCTCCCCACACACACGTGTACACCTGGACCTCCCCACACACACGTGTACACCTGGACCTCCCCACACACACGTGTACACCTGGACCTACCCACGCACACGTGTACACCTGGACCTACCCACACACACGTGTACACCTGGACCTACCAACAGTCTCACAACTGCACCCCCTCCGACTCATTCATCTTACAAAAAGAAACTTTCGTTTCGTTACTTCCTGGCAGCGAGCTACACTTCTCCGCATTTTTACTCGGCCAAACTATTTCCGGCTCCATCGGGCCGATATAAACTCCCGAGTTTAACCTCAGGTCCAAAATCGTCTTCTCTTTCAACAAATCCATCGTCTGCTCACTCTTCAACCCGGAGTTCGATTTCTTCTTCTCTTTTTTATACCCATTCGTCTCCGGCTGGATCTTCGGTGAGTACTCCTCATCCGTGCATCCCCCTTCAAGATCAAGATCATCCAAACTCGACTTCCGTCTTCCGTTTCTATCAGTACCGTTTCTATGACCGCGGTAGGAGTTCCGCATACTTTTCGTCCTCATAGAAGTACCATCCCGGCTGATATTTCGACAAGATCCGCCTCGCATCTTAGCGTAATGCCGTCCAAAGAAAACCCGCATGAAGGTGTTTCTGAAGATGGCGCTGAGCGAGCAGTAGAGGATGAAGTTGACGGCGGAGTTAAGCGCCACCAGGCTGTCTGTGATCTCACGGATGCCTTTCACCATGTAATCCTCCTCCACGTATCCCTTGCCGAAGAACGTCGACATGATGGTGTCCGGCGTCAGGCACACGATGAATATCAACACCATCGCGATCAACATCAGCGTGATACGGTTCCTTGAGTTGAGCTTCTTGCCCTTAACCCTCTCCCTCCTGAGCACGTTGATGATTTTAGCGTTAATAAAAATAAGAATAAAAACTGGGATAATTCCTCGTAGGAAGTTTTGGACCCAGGTATAAGGAATCATAAATTGTTGATTCCTTCCTAATTCTGTGACGACTACCTCCATACAAGTACGATTATTCACGGTATCGTTAAAAGTCTCAAGGCGGTATCGAAACCCTGAGGGTATCGATAGTAGTGTCATGATGACGAAGACGGAGGTGACGACGGTCCTGGCCCGTGGTATCGTGCACAGTGTCTTCGATCTGGAGGGGTAGCAGACGGAGATGTATCGATCTACGGCCACAGAGACGGTTAGCCAGGCAGTCACACTCACGGCCACCTGGGGAGGGAGAGGGAGATACGTTAGAAAGATATGGGGGCGAGGATAGGTTAGAGAGATATGGGGGGAGGGAGAGGGTGATACGTTAGAGAGATAGGAGGGGGAGAAGATATGTTAGAGAGATATGGTGGGGAGGGAGGAGGATAGGTTAGAGAGATATGGGGGGAGGGAGAGGGTGATACGTTAGAGAGATAGGAGGGGGGAGAAGATATGTTAGAGAGATATGGGGGGAGGGAGAGGGTGATACGTTAGAGAGATATGGGGGGAGGATAGGTTAGAGAGATATGGGGGGGAGGATAGGTTAGAGAGATATGGGGGAGGATAGGTTAGAGAGATATGGGGGAGGATAGGTTAGAGAGATATGGGGGGGATGGATAGGTTAGAGAGACATGGGGGAGGATAGGTTAGAGAGATATGGAGGAGGATAGGTTAGAGAGATATGGGGGGGGGGGAGGATAGGTTAGAGAGATATGGAGGAGGATAGGTTAGAGAGATATGGAGGAGGATAGGTTAGAGAGATATGGGGGGGGGATAGGTTAGAGAGATATGGGGGGGGATAGGTTAGAGAGATATGGAGGAGGATAGGTTAGAGAGATATGGGGGGGGAGGATAGGTTAGAGAGATATGGGGGAGGATAGGTTAGAGAGATATGGGGGGGGAGGATAGGTTAGAGAGATATGGAGGAGGATAGGTTAGAGAGATATGGGGGGGGATGGATAGGTTAGAGAGACATGGGGGAGGATAGGTTAGAGAGATATGGGGGGGGGGGAGGATAGGTTAGAGAGATATGGGGGAGGATAGGTTAGAGAGATATGGGGGGGGGAGGATAGGTTAGAGAGATATGGGGGGGGGGGGAGGATAGGTTAGAGAGATATGGAAGGATAGGTTAAGGAGATGTGGGGAGGGAGGGGATAGGTTAGAGAGATGTGGGGAGGGAGAGAAGATATGTTAGAGATATGAGGGGGGGGGGGAGAGGAAGATAGGTTAGCGAGATATGAAGGGAGGGATAGGTTAGGGAGGTAGGGGGGGGAAGAGGAAGGCTAGAGAGATAGGATGTTAGGCACCTGGGTAGGGGAGGAAGATAGGTAAGAGAGGGGGAGGGAGAGAAAGATAGGTTAGAGAGACATGAGGGGGGATAGGTTAGAGAGATAGGGGAGGGGAAGATAGGTTAGAGAGACATAATGGGGTGGGATAGGTTAGAGAGATAGGGGATGGGGAGGGAGGGATCTGTTAGAGAGGTATAGGGAGGGATATACGTTAGAAGAATTATGGGAAGGGGAGAGTGTTACGTTAGAGGAGGGATTAGGGGGAATGGAGCAGTTAGAAGAGGTATCAGGAATATATTTTAGAGATACGACGAGGAATGAGGTAGGTATGTTAGAAGAGGTTTGGGGAAGGAAGGAAGATACAGTAGAGAAATATGGCGAAGAGGGAGTGATACGTTATTGAGAATGAACCTAACAGCTAGTCAGTAACAACTAAATACAATTTTTTTTTTAAATAAATAACTGTAGTCATTAAGTTTATTAATGTTGAATCTACGTAATTCTTGCAGAACATCTAGCAAACATTTTCTCGCTTATAAACTATCTTTACAAAACAGAGCCATTCAAACTGTGATTAAAAAAAATAATTCCTATAACATTTTTTTGTTTACCTATATAAAAATTACAATCGGTTCTTACATAACTATATTTATTTATGTTGCCATTTCTCTTTCAAAGAGCCACATGGGGTCCTTGGATTGAATGAAGACGAAAGAATTCAAGTTGGAAAAATGTTATGACAATTTATTGATTTTTGCTGGTTTGAAAAAATTGTAAAGCAGGTTCAGTTATTTAAAGGGAAAAAATGTTTTAAAACATGATTATTTTAGTCGGTAGGATTTTAAAATTTAAATTGACTTCCTTATAGAGTACACACATCAACTGAGTACATATACCACATCAGTACACATACCACATCAGTACACATACCACATCAGTACACATACCACATCAGTACACATACCACATCACTACACATACCACATCAGTACACATACCACATGAGTACACATACCACATCACTACACATACCACATCTGTACACATACCACATCAGTACACATACCACATCAGTACACATACCACATCAGTACACATACCACATCAGTACACATACCACATCAGTACACATACCACATCTGTACACATACCACATCAGTACACATACCACATCACTACACATACCACATCAGTACACATAAAACATCAGTACATATACCACATTATTACACATACCACATCAGTACACATACCACATCAGCACACATACCACATCAGTACATCTACCAGTTCAGTACACATAACACATCAGTAAACTTATAATCTACAAACACATACCACCTGAGTACACACACAAGCTTAGTACACATGCTTTCTGAGTACATATACTACATCATTGAAAATACCGCCTTAGTACTACCTGCATACACATACTATAGGATCACACATTCCATCTCAGTACACTTACTATTTGAATATACAAACCCCCTAAGTATACATACTACATCAGTACACATACCACCTCATTTCACATACAATCTACGTACACATACCGCCAAAATACACATACCACCTCAGTACACAAACTTTGCTATACGTCTTTCAGTTGAATACACATACGCAAGTATTGAGTAAATATAACAGCTGAATATACTAATCATTATATTGCAGATGCGTGTACATATTCTGACTGAGTACATATACTTGCTGAGTACAGCATACATACGAGAACACATACCAGATGAGTACACTTATAGCTGAATACACAAATCATCTAGTACAGACCAAAAGTACACATTTTAGCTGAATACACATACAGACATATTTTTCCCAAGTAAGTTACATTGAGTGCAGCATCATTTAAAAAATCACATCTAAGTACAGCAAGCCTCTAACCCCCCCCCCCCCCACCACGAAACGGAACAACTCTGAAAATAAAACTCTGACAATAAAACTACGCCATCTTGATTAAAATCTACAAACATTTCAGGAGACTTCCTGCAACGTCAGGAGTCTCCACCCCGACATGGCACGTAGCTCTAGTGATAACTAAACTCTGGAATAATTCTCGCTGACCTTTGGGTTAAAAATAGACCAGTCGATGTTGAATTGTATTGTATGCGACAGTAGGTTTTTCTGTCTGTTCTAGGGTCTGAGTTTTTGTGGTAGAAACAACAAGTTGTCATTGCGAAATGCCACTGGCGAGTTTAATTATCGATTTAATTAAAATATACAGTACAGAGAAAAATATTTCTTAATTATCTTTACGCAACATAAGACTAAAAAAATAAAAAAATTAAACAAATAGACAAGGACTAAAAATGTCGCCGGCCAGTGTTTTAATTAAACAAGTTAATTAAAAAGTCTAGTGACATTTAAGCGCAATTTCCTTATGTTATCTAAAAATAGCTCTGTCGTAGCGTAAATCAAGAGCAGGGTTAGTAAAACCATTGGTTAGTTATTAAAACGTTTTTTATTTTAAAAAATTTCAGTATTTTACATGTTTTATTTACAATAGAGTTACATGACTAAAAACCATTGGGCGCCTAGCTACCGAACGTGATGGCGCAGCCATTGAACGCGATGTCGCAGCCATTGAGCGTGATGACGCGTGTGGTGTGGTTGGATAAAAATGCCTACTAATTCGGTCCAAATTTTAATTAATTCAAATTTTTTTTTGTGACCGAACGAAAGGATATTTTTGAAAATTTTCTTCGGCAATATTGTTCTAAATTATGGCAGGAATCGATTGGTACATGTTTCAAGTCGCTAAGTGGCCTATGTTCATCCTCGTAACTTGCTTAACATAATTGCTTTTGGAACTAGTCCTCGATATTGCTTCGTTGAAAAGGAGATACGACTTAAAGCTGCGGACACACATTCATACATTCATCCATCCAGAAATGACGGGTTAATAAACGCAATTCTCCAGAATGGAAATTGCGCTAAAAATGATGCTTAGTGTTATTTAGTTATCATGACGTACCGGAGTCCACTCAGCTCTAATAAGTACCTCACACTTATGGAAAACTAGAGGAGGTTGGGTATATGACTGATACCACTATCCCTTCATACACAAAGGTCAAGAAACTATCTGCTTTATAGATCGTTAAGTGAACTTATCAATTGTGTTGAGTAACCTTTAAAAAATTGGCTAACTTCGTTTGGCCCAAACGTATTTTTGTAGGATTAAAGGTCAACAGAAACATCACATCAACCGCCCACCTCCCCACACACATCACTTCACACTCTTCAATAATACCACTTCACACTCTTATGTAATATTTCATTAGCTAAGACATCTATAGTAACACGCATTAATGTTCTTGAACAAGCATATTAAAAGTTTTGTATGAGCTCCATTCACTATTATTGTATCAACTACACGCATAGATTTTGATTCTTTGCTAGGGAATAGATCATATTACCCATTCTTAATGGCATACATTCATTTTACTATAATTTAATCAATTCCAATGTGATTATATAGTAGAGGTCTTTTTTTTCGAAACTGATAGTCAATGGGGCAAGTGAAATCGAATTCACCTTGAAGAGGATAGTGTTTTCTGCACTATTCCCAGCCGCCTTACTTTAGTTAATATGGGAGCACTCAGGGACGTTCTACTGACTACAACCCGGATTCGAACTTATGACCTTCCGGCTTGCCATCTAGCGCTTCACCGCTAGGCCGAGCCTATATAGGTTAGAGATTAATCTAGTAAAGAAGGTTTAACATGATAGTTTGAATGAACTTTTAGGGCCTGAAGTCTGCTCACAAACTACACCAAGTGCCTGAAAGCAGCTACATAGGCTATCTGACACTAAACATTCGATACATTTTTAAATACTTCACGTCTTCATGTCTGAAAATAAAAATGTGATATTTTCACCTTACTTAAAAAACATATCTGGACTTAATTAGTCATTTGCGACGCACACTCTCTATAATTAATTGCGCTCCGTTTTCGTTAAATAATTTATTTATGTGTTTTTAATTTGTTTTTTCCTAATGTTAACGGCCAAGAAAGTTTTGATTTTGTTTCCTTATCCAATTCTTACCTTTCTTATAGTGTAGGATTACCAACCTTGGAGGTTAATGCTTTTCCTTAAAATGTAAATTCCTTGATTTCGTTTAGTAGTCAGATTCATCACCCTACTACCCCGGGCATAAGACCAACCCACGGGCAGCCATGTTGCAACTGAGTGACGTCAGCCAGCCAAATCGAAAGCCGGTGATCTTGATTTCATTGTCTTCCGTGCCGAGACTCAATTAAGACTTCACTGATACCGTGAGCGTGTGTGCGAGTCGAAACCGAATTGTTAACTGGCCCTTCAAGGCTAAACATCAGTTCAAACTTTCTGCTTTGGTGTGGTGTATTCTAAGCGGCTGTTGTTTGTTATGGGTAGTGTTTTATGTTTAAATTCTTATACAAATACCGTTCAGTAGAATAAAACGATTGTTGAGTTGATTAGGGGGATTAATATTGGAGAACATTCGACAACTAAACCAGTGAACGATTAACCGTGCATATGTAACAGTGTATCGAATAGGCTTTGGGGTAATTATAAGCCATTTTAAAGCCTAAATGCCGTTTCTTTCCCCGGATTAAACATACTCGGAGAGTCGAGTGACTCATGTTATGGTAACTGAGAGCCGAGTGACTCATGTGATGGTAACTGAGCCCGAAGAACAGCTGGAGAAAGTTTTCTTAAACGAAATCTTCACGCAGCATCCAGCACATCAAAATATCCAGCACATCCAGCACATCAGTACATCCAGTACATATAGCACATCAGCATATTAGCACATCAGCGCATCCAGCACATCCACCTCAGCCAGCCAACACACCACTAATTCACCGTACCGACACAACACCGTTTGCAAAAAAACCACCTCATCAACCATACAATCTCATCAAACACTCGACCACATCTACCATATCTACCACATCAACCACACGCCCACATCCAACCACACGACCTCATCAACCATATCTACCACATCAACCACACCACCACATCAACCACACGACCACATCCACCATATCTACCACATCAACCACACGACCACATCCAACACACGACCACATCCACCATATCTACCACATCAACCACACCACCACATCAACCACACGACCACATCAACCACACCACCACATCAACCACACGACCACATCCACCATATCTACCACATCAACCACACGACCACATCCAACACACGACCACATCCACCATATCTACCACATCAACCACACGACCTCATCAACCATATCTACCACATCAACCACACGACCACACACTCTTGTCTTCTTCATCGACCCCACAATCAGCTGACCACTGCTCATATAAACCTATATTTTCTACTTTTCATATTTAGTTTTTCTCCTGTCTATACCAAACTTATCTACCCCACCTGTCCACCCCACCTGTCCACCCCAGCTGTCCACCCCACCTGTCCACCCCACCTGTCCACCCCATCTGTCCACCCCACCTGTCCACCCAACCTGTCCACCCCACCTGTCCACCCCATCTGTCCACCCCACCTTTCCACCCAACCTGTCCACCCCACCTGACTACCCCACCATTCCACCCCACCTGTCCACCCAACCTGTCCACCCCACCTGTCCACCCCACCTGTCCACCCCACCTGTCCACCCCACACGTCCACTCCACATGTCCACCCCACCTGTTCACCCCATCTATCCACCCCACCTGTCCAGCTCACCTGGAAGACATAATGAGCATAAGGGTAGACATTTGCCATCATCGTCTCGGCGGCTCCTGGGTTGTTGAGCATGATGAGCAGCATGATGAAGTAGAGGAAGTCGTTGAGCAACTTCAGGGAGTCGGACACTCCTAATGCTGGGGACGAGAAATCAGGGGGGGGGGAAGTCAGTTTGTTATGAGTATAGGGGGTGAGGGGACACTCCTAATGCTGGGGACGAGAAATCAGGGGGGGGGGGGGAAGTCAGTTTGTTATGAGTATAGGGGGTGAGGGGACACTCCTAATGCTGGGGACGAGAAATCAGGGGGGGGGGGGAAGTCAGTTTGTTATGAGTATAGGGTGTGAGGGGACACTCCTAATGCTGGGGACGAGAAATCAGGGGGGGTCAGTTTGTTATGAGTATAGGGGGTCATTTTAGTGTTGTTACGGGGGTGGGGGTTGGGGGTGGCTTGAGGGAACACATCTAATGCTGGGAAGGAGAAATCAGGGGGGGGGGGGGGGGGTTAGTTTAGTGTGGTTGTGGGGTGGGGGGGGGGGGGGCACTCCTAATGCTGGGGAGGGTAAATGAGGGGGGTCAGATTAGGTTTCGGGGGGGGGGGCAGGCATTCCTAATGCTGGGGAGGGTAAATAAAGAGAATCTGTTAAGTGTGGTTGGGGGCAGGGCAGAACACTCCTAATGCTGGGAGAGAGGGTCAAGTGATAACATTTATTAACATTTATTAACATTTATTAACATTTATTATTTCTTTTCAAAGCAGTATATAATTTTTCGCTCAACGAAAATGCCTTTAAACACTTGACAGTTCTAATAATGTTACATTAGGTCTGCTACTGCTAAACTCCATTTCAAAATACAATCACCGTGTTATTCTTATTGTGAAAATACAGAAACCAATTAACCTAATGAGATGAACTAATTATTTTCCGTCGCAATCACGTTAAACGGGTGATGTAAAATTTATAACTTGACTTGTACAAGCAGTTACCAGCTATACTGTCAGTGTTGGGTAACGAGGCGCATATAATTTCCATCGGGTTATCGAACAGTTGCCAACTTGAAAAATAAACACATGAATCATCCGTGACGAAAAGGGCTTGGTCAGACTTGAGCGGTAATGAGAGGTGACTTGAATAATAAAACAATGACTTGGGAACGCTAACTCAATGCCCTGTTTGTCTGACGTTATAAATATGATAATTTCGTCAATATTTTGAGAGTAATTAGCGTAAGGATTCGTTGTTGGATTTGGGCGGTTTTTGTGTTACAAAAAAAGCAATGTTAAAATACGATTCGATATAGTGAAGCGAATGTTTAGAGATTTCGAAAATTGCGCTGTATTAAAAAGTATGATACGGGCAATGACTAAGTAGGCCCAGGGGCGTAGCGAGGGGGGGGGTGCGGACTGCACCGGGTGACACCATTTATGGGGGTGACACCAAGGCAAAAAATAGCAAAATATATAGAGACAAACTTAAGGGGGGGGGGTGCAAATCGAAAACTTGAAAGTTTGTTCCCGGGAAGGGTCGCAACGCCTCTGGGGGGGGGGTGGGGTGACACCATTAAGTGCCGCACCGGGTGACTCCCGACCTCGCTACGCCACTGAGTAGGCCTACAGCTTTTGAACATTTATGTATCTCTTTTCGTCCTATTCTGAATCGCATGTTGTACACAAAGAACATAAATAAAGGCATTGACTGGGTTTTAAACTTACAATTTATAAATAACCAAAAAGTTTTCTCCGTACCGCATAATACAATACATCTTTTAAAAAAGGGGGCTGAAAATCATACAACATTCACGGCTACTCCATAAAATTATCATCAACGAGACGAAGGACTGATAAACATAGAACAAACACGACTACCCGTGTTATCAACGAACCATGGGTAGACAAACATACAACAAAGTCTACGAAATAATTTAACAAAACAACATTGGTTATAAACATAGCCTACAACAAACAAGTCTACTCATATCAACAAAACAATGGAAAGGACTGACTAGCAACCAACAAAGAAGTCTACTCATATCAACAAAAAAAGGAAGGGACTGACTAACATACAACATACACATGTACCCATATTAACACAACAAAGAAAGGGACTAACTAACATACAACATACAAGTCTACACATTCAACAAAAAAAGGAAGAGACTAACTAACATACAACAAACAAGTGTACCTATAACAACATTACAAAGGAAGGGACTAACTAACATACAACAAACAAGTGTACCTATAACAACATTACAAAGGAAGGGACTAACTAACATACAACAAACAAGTGTACCTATAACAACATTACAAAGGAAGAGACTAACTAACATACAACAAACAAGTGTACCTATAACAACATTACAAAGGAAGGGACTGACTAACATACAACACTGCTAGCGTAAATCATCAACAAAACAAGAGACAATTACACATACAACAAACAAATAAACAAGTCTACCTTAAATCATAAACAACATACTGGAGAACAATATTCAGTAAACACACAGAAAATGATACACGAGGAAACAACAACAGTATTCTTCGGCTGAATACACAATGGTCATTGTAGTACTGGAAAGTCAAACCAGCAGGGCCCGACTTAACGATTTCTCCTAGCAGGAGGTTGAGCCAATATTTTGGCTCTAAGATTCTCGTTATTGGCGGCTCCCCGCGCGGAGGCTCACATTTAGTATGACCAGTGGCTCATTTTTAGTGTCACGTGACCCTTGAGTGGCTCAACTTGCTTTACAGCTAAGTCCATTACTTTATCGAGGTTTCCGTCCGTTCATTTCAATACGTGAATAGAATTTAAACTTGGTACAGAGGGCGCAGAGGATAGTGGGAAACTGGTTCACGGACTATTTTATGTGAAATTCCAAATTGCTTCTAGAATAAAGTATATATATATATATATATATATATATATATATATATATATATATATATATATATATATATATATATATATATATATATATATATATATACTGCCTAGCTTCGCTTAGGTTTTTAAAAAACATTTGAGAATTTGAATACTTAATTATTTAGCGATGGATTGGGTGTGGAGTGCTTTAATAAGTTTAATTTAAACAGTAATGCTAATTTTAGAAAAAAATGTTTTTGTTGGTCATTTACATTCCGTTCGTGGAGAATTTTTTGAAAGTACGCAATGTATAACTAAAATGGAATTAGAACTACACAGGTTTCGTGAACAGTATATCTCATAGTTTATATTACACTGCCTTTTGAAATTAATTAATTTATTTAATTAGGTTACTTAACTAAATTAACAACTTAATTTTCTACTAACACAAATGCTATACTTCGTCATTTTCTGTTTCTGTTTAAAATAGTATACAATTATTTGAAAAATAATAATTTTACAAACGTTACCTCCCTTGAAAACTGAACGTATGACGTATGTCATTGTTTACTTATATTGTTTGCTTATATAAGAAATTACGTTATATGAACATATTTAACGACTATAATGGCTGTTTCCGACGGGAATAAAGTTTTTTTGTTACCCTCCAAGGTCGGTCTACGACGTCACATAATATTAAGGGGATCGTTCGTCAATTTATTTATATATATATATATCTCATATAAGGAGAATTTCACTCAAGATCATCTTTTAGCCCTCGTCGACGGCTTTGAGTCTGACCAACAGTTTTTCCATACGGCCTAGTCATCTATAGTAGTGTATGCAAAAACTTAGCATGATGTACAGATATTAAGTAACCTGAAAATTGTGTTAAAATTTCCCTGTTTTTCCCATAAAATACATAGATTATATAGGGAAATACAACTGGTCAGTTTTGACCGCTTTACGAAGTTTTCCCAGATATGCCGAGTTTTTTGTGACACCCCTAGGTGTTCTTCTACCACCTCACAAAATATAAAAGGGGGTCGTCGGAGGAAATTTTTTTTCGTAATAGAGCTCATATAATGAGAATTTCACTCGCGGTCACTTTTTAGCCCTCGTCGAGGGCTTTGAGTGTAACCGACAGTTTTCCCTAAAGGTCAAGCCATTGACCTAGGAGCATGCAAAAAATTAGCCAGATATACTGAGCTTAAGTACCCTAAAGTCTGCGTTGAAATGACCCTCTGTTTTTCCCATAAAATACAAAGATTATATAGGGAAATACAACTGGTCAGTTTTGACCCCTTTACGAAGTTTTCCCAGATATGCCGAGTTTTTTGTGACACCCCTAGGCGTTCTCCTACCACCTCACAAAATTTCAAGGGGGGTCGTCGGAGGAAATTTTTTTTCGTAATAGAGCTCATATAAAGAGAATTTCACTCGCGGTCACTTTTTAGCCCTCGTCGAGGGCTTTGATTGAAACCGACAGTTTTCCCTAAAGGTCAAGCCATTGACCTAGGAGCATGCAAAAAATTAGCCAGATACACTGAGCTTAAGTACCCTAAAGTCTGCGTTGAAATGACCCTCTGTTTTTCCCATAAAATACAAACATTATATAGGGAAATACAACTGGTCAGTTTTGACCGCTTTACGAAGTTTTCCCAGATATGCCGAGTTTTTTGTGACACCCCTAGGTGTTCTTCTACCACCTCACAAAATATCAAGGGGGGTCGTCGGAGGAAATTTTTTTTCGTAATAGAGCTCATATAAAGAGAATTTCACTCGCGGTCACTTTTTAGCCCTCGTCGAGGGCTTTGAGTGTAACCGACAGTTTTCCCTAAAGGTCGACCCATTGACCTAGGAGCATGCAAAAAATTAGCCAGATATACTGAGTTTAAGTACCCTAAAGTCTGCGTTGAAATGACCCTCTGTTTTTCCCATAAAATACAAAGATTATATAGGGAAATACAACTGGTCAGTTTTGACCGCTTTACGAAGTTTTCCCAGATATGCCGAGTTTTTTGTGACACCCCTAGGTGTTCTTCTACCACCTCACAAAATATCAAGGGGGGTCGTCGGAGGAAATTTTTTTTCGTAATAGAGCTCATATAATGAGAATTTCACTCGCGGTCACTTTTTAGCCCTCGTCGAGGGCTTTGAGTGTAACCGACAGTTTTCCCTAAAGGTCAAACCATTGACCTAGGAGCATGCAAAAAATTAGCCAGATACACTGAGCTTAAGTACCCTAAAGTCTGCGTTGAAATGACCCTCTGTT